CCAAAATTGCACCCACACTTTTCTCAAGAGAGTGCTACCACACCGAGCCAGCAAACAACACTAAAACTTGGCATCATGAAAGTTCTTCCCGTCACCTGCCCAGTGATTCTGAAATTAAATTACACCCTGTCATAGTTAGCATCCAAAGATGGACCAGACATGTTTAGCTTAACTAAAAATCTCCCCCCGCAAAAAAAATAAATAAATAAAAGGAATTACATTGTTTTTATACAGGCACAGAAGCAGGCTCTGACTGTCCGTGCCATTTTAGTATTAGCTCTTCTACGGTTCACAGCAGGACCATTGAGCACATCGTGTTATTCTGTCTGGATGTGCCCTACACCATGTCATGGGGTTTGGCTAGAGCACTGGACCAAAGCTGTGTTCCTACAGGTTTGCAAACAACCAAATCCGGGATGTGCTCATCCCAGGCATTCACACTGTTGCACATCTGTCAGTAGAGCATGTTTTGCTATACTCTCACCAGCTGAAGTGGCACGGCTGCGCCACCTGAAGAACACAGCATGCTGACCTGCATGCTGAGTATTGCCTTCAGTGCAGAAGGGTCTGCCGTGCCCCATACCATCAGTAGCACTTCCCTGCTCTCTGCACACAGTGTCTCTTGAATCTGATTCCTAGCCTCCCTGTTCCATGGCCTAATAGCCGTAGTGGTCTGGGTAACGTCCTGATTGCTGAGCGGCCTGCTGGCAAGAGTGCACGCAGGGGACCCAAAATCTGTAGATTTATTGCTTCTAAACCAAAAAGTATATTAAAAAAAAAAAGAAGAGATAAAAATAGATGAGGAGCTTGGGGACCGGAAAGGCAGCCAGTGGAGATTAGATGCACTGCTGGTTGACTCATCCAGCTTATTTTATTGTAGCACAGCTCCAATAACGGCTGTATTATTTCAGCTTATGTGCAGTGAGCAGACATTTGTTTTGCATAGAAGCTTTTTCACATAAATGTGCTCCATTTTTCATTTCTCCTTGCATCTCCCAGCTTTTCAGCTGGCAATTGCAAATGAGAGAGGTGATGGCTCCAAAAAAATGTTAGCCAACTTCTCAGCTGGTATAAATCAGCAACACCCCCTGGTCTTTAATAAAGCTATGCAGCTTTATACCAGTTGAATCTGCCCCAACTTTTCCTTTAAAACACGTCCCACCTTATAAAGAGCTGTGTTTTCGTCAGTGGTGGATTCTGAAATTAATGAAAAGTACTGGCCCAGCTGCCTCATAGAGCAAATACAGCGTGCATCTTGGCAGGATCAGCTTTCCAGTGTGTGGCTGCTTTCAGTCGGAGGGACTTCTTTGCCAGAGAACAATAACAGCCATCATATGCTGCCTGTGGGACTTGAGCCGTGACCGAATATCCTGCAGAAGGTCTGCACACGGGCCAGACACTGCATGCTACCCACTGCCTCCCAGCGTCTTTAGCCCCTGCTTCACTTCAGTTCGTTAAAACTGTTGTGTGCTTGCATGTAAGTGGCTACGAGGAATAGCTAGGGAGAAAAGACGTGGAATGTGTGTCAGTCTTCATTAGCTGTTCTCACCTTGCTTCACAGCTTGAAAAGTGCTGCCCTGCCAAGTTGGGCTGCATTCAGAGGCAGAGATTGGAAATAACTACAGGGAAAGAGAAGAACAAGTATTTACCATAACCTGAAAACAGGTGAAACTACACCTACCTCACAGGCTGTGCATTTGTTACAAGACGGTGGTGTTTTGCAGCTTTTAGGGTGTATACAGACTGAAGGAATACTTTGGAATCTGTGTAGCTTTTTAGAGAAGGTTGTTAAAGGGAGATTTTCTGGGACAGAACCTGGTGATCAGGAGGGTCATTTCTGACCCACGTTCCTGTGCATCTCATTATCAGTTCTTGAGCAAGCCAGACTGTGGTGCAGGCAAATGTTGTGTGGCTGCTTAGCTGTGGTAACGAGAAAAAGAGCCTTTATCGCTCCCATGTTTGAGCATTTTTTTTTAGCTGAAGGAAAGTCTGTGGAAGAATCTGCCAAAATGTGACTTTGTTTTGTCAGAATCTTCTCCCTTATTGTGGAAGCTTTATGGTAACAGGCTTTTCCACGGCAATGTTGTGGCCAGGTGCAGAGCTTGCATCCCATCTCTACCAGAGACACACACAGATACTTTAAAAAAAAAAAAAAAAAAGAAGAAAAACCTGAAAATGTAGTGTTGCCATTCAGACAGCTATATAACCAAAAAGAAGGTCCAAATTGATATACAGTCAATTTATACAAGTGCATATGAATTAAATTTACAACTACCTTTGTAACTATCAACTATTTTCTATCTTTAAAAAAATGTCTTCGTTGTTTTTTCATAAACTTGTCAATCTCATGAATATCAAGTGACAGTCTTTTACAGGAATAAGTGGTGAGGTAACAGCAGCGTTGTGTAGGATGAGATAAATTTGGGTATGAAATAAATGACGACCTCCATAGGAGGTAGAGTTAGGAAACTAGTGTGTGGGAAAATTGGAGTGAGTGAGAAGGCAGCAGGGAAAAGGAAGCCACAGTACAAATTAAAGATTGGAAGTAACAGGGCTGGATGCCAAGAGCCTCAGAAAAGAAAAAAATATATATATCCTTGATTAGCTAAACTATTTGTTTTACTATATAAAAACTGACCTCCTCGAAGAGCCCTCAGCCCTGGCCTCCTGGGTGTCTGAGTACGTGCAGGCGAGTCGCTGCCATGCTGATGGCAATGCAAATACTTCAGCAAGAATCTTCTGCCCCATGGATTTCCAGTAAGACCAGGTGCAAACACTTCAGCTGGCAGGATCTCTGCCCACGTCAAGCCTTACATTTTATTCAACCTGGCAATACACACTTTCCTTTTTTTTTTTTTTCCTAAATTGCTGCAATAATCCATTGCAGTTCCATTAGCTATGTGTGACTGTGTGTGTTGAAGGGAGCTGCCGTCTCTCAGAGCAGCCCAGGCATGACTTCCAAAGGGACCAGCAGATAGCACAGCAAGCATAATGAGCCCACTCCCCCAGCTGAGCTCCACACAACCACAGGAGGGACAGGAGTCCCTCAGTCTCCTGCACTGAGGCCTCCATAGGCCCCAGTTCCATTGCTGCAGCCAGCAGGATCCTCCGCTGCCCTGCAGGTACGGAGCTTTTCTGGTGCCCTCATCCTGGGTCCCCAGGGATTATTTCAGCTCTTCTGACCTGAAGACTTTGCCCTACCCAGGAGATGCTTTTAAGCACTATGTTCTCATGGAAAGCCATGGACCAAGCCTGGACCATGGACCAATTACAGTGGGTAATACAAATGACCACTTACATTAAGATGGTGTCAGATGTTAATGTAAGTGGTCATTTGTATTACCCACTATTACTGATAATGTTTTTCTCCCACTCATCCATTCCCAGTGGCATCACCAAGTTGAGTCCAGCCTGTAGAAAGGGAAATTCGAGAGCTACAGAGAATGTGCTTGAGCACCTAACCTGGGTGTGCTTCTAGCACTTGCTGATGCTTTTTGAACAGGAATTGTTCTGCCAAGGATACAACACGAAAGAAGAGCTATTGCAGACAGAGCTGCTTAGAGAGCAGACGGGGAACTGAAACCTTTTGCCAGCAATTCCCCCTGTTACTTGTTCTCTAAAAACCCATCTTCCATCACTCTGTAACTACAAAAAGTCATAAGAGAGGCCAGCTTGTGAAACAGCCTGGTACAATTTAATTAAATAACGTAAAGACTGCAAGTGAAGAACTCTTTAACAGAGAATGGAAACATTACAGGACTTCTTTATGATGGAACAAGATTGAAACAAGCAACATTTAACCTTTGTAAAAACTTCTAGAAGTGAACCTCTCTAAACACCTCTATTACAATCCGAGTTTTATAGGTGGAGAAACAAACAGGTGATTGTATTTACGAGGCCTCTAGCAGGTGTGTCTGTACACATAGTCTACATAGAGCTCTGGTCCTGGAGCTAGAATCTATATTCAAGTTCGGGACTATACCTGGAATCATGGTCAAAAACTGGAGTCATGTGGGTATCTAATTGCACATTTTTGGCCATAAACCAAACCTTTTAATCTGTACTAGTTCGTTCAGATTGCACAAGGCTACAGGGTGAACAAAACATACTTGTATTGAACTGTTCTAGCTTTCCTTGTTTGAGTATATTAAGGAAGATGAAGGCAGTTTGCAGGAGCCTTGAATGCAAGGCTTCCAAGCACTTGAGATTTACTGTGCTTAAAGGTGTATTCCAGCATCCTTTCTCAGGAACAAAACAGATTTGAAGCCCAACCAAAATCAAGTCCCTCAAACAAGCTTAGCTCAGGAATGTGAGAGCACAATATCAGCAGCAGAGGGACATCACTAAAAAAGGAAGAAATAATATCAGCTGCTCTCTGTTCATACTAGATTGTTCTTCCAAGAATCTCAAGTCTTCTGAAATGCCACTAAACTCTCAGTATACCCTTTGGATGGCTGGGTGTTACAGATGAGGAAACAAAAGATGGGAGGCTGTGCAGCCATTGCATGACACAGTGGCATTCAATTTGGGGTGAAGCTGCCTTAGGCAGTCAACACATACTTAATATAGATGTCTATATATGATGTCTATTTTCAGCTGTACTGTACAAGACCAAAAGTGGTCCAGGGCTTCTAATCTCTTTATTTACCTATGAGATTACACAGTCACTTCAGACATTTTTTGCAGGCTTCAACAAAAAGGAATAGAACAAGTTACCAAATTGTTCCAGAAGACTTTTGCAACTGTTGGTGTGTAGGTTTGTTGTTTCTGCAGAGGCAGGAGAGCATCACAGTAGAAAGTGAAGGCAGGAGGGGCTCTGAAAGAGATGCTCATGCACCACAAAACAGTGCATAGAATATGCTACCTAATGGCTAAAGTACACTGAGTGTTCAAAGCCACATTAATGCCACATGAATATTGGCAGCCATTTGTTGGCCAGGAAGAGAGAAATGGAACATTAGCAGTTTCTGAACATGGGCAAGATGCACACATAGGAACAATTTTCATTGCAAGTTTTTAATTCTGCTGGATTTTTTTGGAAGTATCTGCCTGCTGTTCCACCATGATCAGAATGAAGACAAGGAATTGCAGTATGATTGTGTATAATCAAAGAATATTAGGATGTTATAATCACAAACTAAACAAGAGATTTAGGCAAAGTAGACTATGATAGCAAAAGAGAAAAAATAGAAGGCTTACCCTTATCCTGGGCTCACCCACAAAACACCAGTAGAGGCAACCTCCAGAAGAGATCCTTCCCTACTGGCAGTCAGCTCTTAAATAGGTCTAGGAGAGGTGCAGCCAGGCTCCACCCCTTCCTGCAGCACAGGTGAATTGCCTTCAGCTGTGCTCCTCTGGCTGACTCATGGCTCGCCTCAGGTGATCAATCAGAGGTTCAGGCCTGACTCAGCAGTTCCCACACAGATTGGCACAGCAAAACTAGGAAACAATACAAAATGGGAGTTTGTCACATAAGTAGAGTGTGTTAAACTGATTCTGTATAGTATTTTCATCCCGAAGTGCTTGAGAAGTTTGCATATAAATGAATTACTTCCCTGTGGCTTAAGTGCAACTACATTTGGGCTGAAATGCAATTGTCCTCATTGTGCATCCAGTGCTTAAGCTGCTTGTGAAAGATTTGCTATGTTATGCATTTGTTTTTATCCAGCTGTTCAGAATAAAATGAGGGCTTTGCAACACCTGATTCAGATTCACAAATTGGAAAAGGCAGTTGCTAATGCCAGAGGTCCTCCACTGAAATTTCCAAATCAGAATTCAGAGATGTGTTAATACATGGCTGTAAACAATTACAAGCAATAGCATGTAAGCCCTGCTTGATGAGTCTTGAGGAACTGGTGGCATCGCTTGCATCTCTGGAAAATCGCTACTACAGTTGTTAGGGGTGGCAGGTCACTTCGTTAGGAGTTCACTGTGTCCTGGTCTCTCTCTACTCTTCCTCTTCTTCCAAACACCTGTGACTTAAAGAGAAGCCCTGAAGTTGAGAGGGAATTGAGAGGCTAAAGGAATTAAAAGAATTTCATGTTATTTTTCCATCATATAAAATATCAGTAGTTGACGCACTTCCTTCACAAGTTCTACCTTTATATAAGAGATTTGAAACAGCCTAACTCCACACATTTTCTCAGTAGTTCCCAACTTCTTTTGATACTATTTCCTAACTATTCATTTGATGAGGAATAATGAAGCTAGAGCAGTAGAACTACATCTGTATATATTGCGGATGTCTTACATTTATTTATTCCTGCATTATCAGAGCTTGTTTCCCTTGGCAAGTACAGTATGTATAGTAACAAGAAGCTTGATGTACCCTGCCATCTTTTTTGCACTAGTTCCTTATAGTAAAGTTACCTTTACTCAAGTAGAAAATAACAATCAAGAGAGGTGATATCATTTTTTGTACATTCATACTTTTTCCAAAGTCAGTAACAAAGCTGAGACTATTCTGTGATTGTCTCTTATATTTTCTGCTGGATTTCATCCCCACCATTTTTAAGCAAATCATCACCTACAAAATCTAGCTCTGGACTTTGCATCATTGTATTTTCATCAAATGCTCCAGGGATTAAGTTTGAACCTGCCAAATCCCTCCCAATCTGCAAATCATAAATTTGTAAGTGAAAAAAAATTCTTTGTGTTTGTGAGGAGAGGGGGTTTGCCAGACCACTTTGGCAATCACAGCAAGTGGCTTATGGTCAGTTCTCTTAAAAATTAAACAATAATCCAGGAAACCTTTTTACACTCATGGGCAAATGCCAAATCCTTTCTCTCTGACACTTGGATTTTGTTAGTATTCACTGCACAGAAATTACTGTCCTCCAGTTCTGACTATATTGCAAGAGGATTAGCTCAATTCTCTTCTGGGGACAACTCTGTCTCGTGTGTGCCGTTAAGATACCATGGGGCTGCATCCTCTTCAGTGACCTCTTTCATTTTCTGCAATTGTTATCATTTGTAGTCAGAGTCAGCTGGATGTCTTATAGCAGTGCCCTGGGGTTGGCAGGTCACACGATCAAGTTGCACACATCTCCTAGGGCTCTCATTTCAGCAAGTCTTTGTGCCCGCTGCTTCTGCATGCATCTCAGCTCCTCCGTAACCCTGCTGCATACCTGGCTCTGACAGTGTCTCTCCTCAGTGTTTTATAGCTGCTGTGAGAAATTAGCATTTTTGTCTGTCTAGCCAGCTTCGTTTCTTCTCAGGCAGCTCTGAAGCCCTTTACCATGTTATTCTGTGTTGTTTTTTTTCTGCTGATCTTAACATCATCTGATCTGTGTAAATGCTGAAAACTTGGTCCATCATCAAACATCTGCTGTATTTTTGGAGAAATGTCTCAAGTTTGGTGAAGCAATCTAAATCACCAGAAACTGTGATTCTCAATTTGCACAAAATGCGTGTTCTGTTTTTTAAGGGCTTCTGCCAGACCCTGCTGACACATGAAGCATAAGAAAATATTTGGCATCAGCCACTTCCCCAGAGATTTTTCCTCTTGTAGGTAGTGGAAAATGATCCCTCTGTACACATGTATTCAATTCTTTTAGGTCTATTCGTAAGCAAAGGTTTCGTCTCCTTTTTTAGAATACCCATTCTGATGGTTTCACTATGCAGCTTGCGGTGATGAATAAATTCACCTCCTATTTTTACCTCTCCTTTAGGGCATGGGGAAACCATGCCAGTGTTGTAGATTGTGGATGTGGAGGAGTCTTCAAACTCTTTTTCAGGGACTTGATTCCCCCTTTTTCCAAAGCAAAAGGCATCTTGATAAGGCAGAAGACGGCCTCCCTTTTCTCGTATGTTATTGAGGTTGCTTGCCTGCCTGCCTTTCTAGCCCTGCTGCAGGACTGAACTCACCGCATTGCTCTAGAGTTTTACCAGTTTCTGTTGCGGCATGGCTGCTGGCAATGCACAGGCTCACGCACCAATAAGTGCCTTAGGGCCAACACATGCCACTCTGTTACAGAGCACGGGAGGCTCTTTGTACCTCAGACACCTCCATAAATCCTCTCTCTCATAAACTCTCCATGGTGTTTAGTGCTGCTGTCCTTCAGGGCATGCATCTACTGGTGGCACCTTCTAAGGAATGATGGGGTCCTGCCTGTTTATGTTCTCTACCTGGCATATGCCCAACACCTCCACTTACTGAGAAGGGACTTGGGTTTTTGTTGCATGGTAGGGAGAAGGTGAAGCTTGGATACACTGATCCTTTTCCCATCAAGTTCAGGAGAGATCCAGGCCCAGGCCCACCTTTGGTTACCTAGGAAGGAAACAAAGCAGAGTTGTAAAGAGAGCCAGACGCGAACAACGTTTAGGGCTATGTGGCCCCTTCTCACAGGACTATGCACTGTCAAATCTCAACAGCTCACCCTCAGTCACATCATCATGGATTATGAGTGCACAACTGTTGCTAAAAGAGAGCGAGTGAGAAAAAATAATAAAAAGAGACAAAATGCAAGAGGCTTAGGAGGCCCCTGGTTTCCTTAATGGAATTAGCCCTTCCTTTATGAATTCCAGGGCTAAACTCTGTAAATGTGATTCACATACTCCCTCCTCTCACCAAAGCAGAAAGATCTGCTAGACACATGTTCTAAGTGGAGCAGGGGAAGATATGATGTGACTCAAGAGCCTGGAAGGCTAAAAGGAGTAGATGGGGAGAGCACTGCAGCCCTTGATCTTTGCAAGATTTACTGCCTTTGCCTCTTGCAGAGATCTTTTTTTTTTCCCTGGAAAATTGCTAGCTTCTAGCAATTTGAAAAAAAAAATTGGCTGGGGCAGTAAACAAGATCTTTGAAGGGGGAAGGAAGCCAAGAGAAAGTCAGGCCCATTAGTCACGCAGCTGCATTTCCTGTCACAAAGGACCCCAGTTGAGTAATCACTCAAAATATGCTTGTTATTTTTTCCTATTTTACTTCAACTTTCAGCTTGCCAATATCTACTGTAAGAACAAATTAAAACAAGAAAAAGAAGTCTTTTATTCTCAGGAGAGAAAACAATGTAGAAACAGACACTGATTTACATTATTTTTCCTTTCTTTAATTTTCATGGTCTAAAAACACTTCAATCATTTGAGAGGAATGTAAGTAGCTCTGAGTCTGAGGCAGTCCTGGTGTTTTCAGGGTATATCATTTCAGCAGGAGTGTGGGTGTTAGAGTTCCTTGGCTCCATGTCCAGCTGCTACCAATAATTTGCTGCACAACCTTGATTGAGTCATGAATTAATTTATCTGTAATTTATTTTGACTGTATGAAAGGTGAAGATGATAACAGCTTCTGCATAATTGCTTCGTTAAGCTTCACTAATAATGCTTATAAGTAATACTGGGTGTTCTGAAATTTTTGTTCAAGTTTTGTCCAAATATTTGTCTAAAGAAAAACTGGAGTGAGGACTAAAACACATAGACTTTTAATTTAAAGCAGAACATTCTTATGAGCAGATATTAAAAGAACTTAAGTGAAAAAACGTTGGAAATAGGAACTGGACTATGAAATAGGAGAAGGAAAATCTTGCTGACGCAGTATCTTGAGATGCTTAGAGGTAGAAAAATAGAGCAAATGTGTCACAGTACAACTGCTTTTACAGTGTTGGAAGAGGGGGTATAATTGACCAACAGTACCACTTGCCCACATCCAGATCTTAGATTTAAAGACAGTGGCTCTGATCAGTCTGGGACCATCATCAAAAGTACATCACCAAGAGTACATGAAGAAAGTAAAGCCAGAAAAGTGCCCCTTTTCCAGACTGTTCAAGAAAAAAAACTACCTCTTTTACCAGCAAGTAGAACTCCAAAACACCAAAGACCACATTTTATTTACTCAAAACTAATGAGTATGGTGACCAGGCCACCTATGAAGAATGACTGTAAGCAAGCTTCAGGGCACATAACAGGTTGTCACTTATATTCCTGATTGGAGTACCTGCCTATATGGCTACAATGAAAATGACTGCAAAGAGGAAACTCCTGTTTGGACTGTTGTGTAAGTAGAGAGTAGGTGACTGTAGTTTATGGTACAGAATAGCGCAACTTAAAATAATACCACACAAAAAATGACACTTACATTTGCATGTAAGTGACTGGTAATGTCATATAATTCTCTAATTTGCACACATTTGATACTACAGATGTGTGGTGTTTTTAAAACCACAGCTTATGAGCAGATGTGATTTACACAGCAATGGAAATCACAGCCTCCTAGAGCTCATAAAAGGGTGCAAACACAAACAAATGTGAGACTTACGCTATTTGATTTAAGAGAGACTTTGAAAAGCTGTTTCTATGTATTTTGTAAAGCAAGTCAAAATGATAATTTCTGCTTATTTACACTGAATGGAAAGGTAAGAGTCTTGTGAAGCGCGATCCAAATATGAAAAATTCAGCTCCAAATTATGTTTGTAAAGTTCATCCTGTGTCTCTCCAAATGGCAGGCAAGGCAGATGGTGCTCCTCGAGAGGGCACAAGTGGACACTCCCTGGTTTGTGGTCTGAGCTAGCACCAGGCTGTAGGGGTTCCCTGCTGTTCTCACACCAGATGACTTTCACCACTACATACCCCAGCCTCCCAGATCCCCATAGTATCTGACATTCTGTGCAACAGCCATAGCTTTATGTTCCTAAAACTTGCTCTGCTGTGATGTGAGCTTATAAAGGCCATTTCCAGTGATTGTTGGTATCCTCGTAGCTTAGAAATTATATACTGGTATGTATGAATGAGTGGAAATAATTTTTACAAAAGCAACATAAACTTGGAACATCTTCTTCTATGAGTACCACTGTATGTGTACTTAGTGTTACAGGGGCATATAAATCACACATCCGCTACATCAGACTATATAATATAGTATATATATATATATATATATAAATAACCATCTATGGGATTAATTATTCCTGACAAGTATTTGGGCAGCAACTAATATTTATCTATTTACCTACCTGTTTATTTCAGAAATTTGTATGGCTCTGTAGACATAGTACTCGAGTACCTGCAGACCTCTGAACTTTTGATGTGTCTGTTCTGTCCACACGAGTCTGATGTAGATTAATACAATTAGCTCTGTGTAAGTGTGCCACTAAAGTCCTAAGGAGAATGAGTAACCCAGAATAACCTCTGAAGTGTGACCTCTTGATTCACCTCCTGGCTGCAAATAATTTCTCTCAGGCTTACATGGGAAACTGAGTCATAAAGAGAAAGGTCAGATGCCCATAAGCACATAGTTGGCAACAGACAGGGAAGCAGACCTCATGATGTACAGATCCTCAATCTGTGGTGTATGTATTAAATTGCCCTCCCTTGTCTTCAGTGAATTGAAATTGCTCACGTTGTTGGCACTGCAGTGCAGGCTTCTGTGATGTGGATGGAGAAGACCCAGAAAATAGTCACTTAAAAAGAAGCTAAGTTAACTGGAACACAGGGCAGTTGCTTACTGCATTAACAATGGAACTTGTCAGCCTTTCCACTAAATTGCTGAATGAATCTGGGCAATTCCTTCACATCCACAAGCTGCCATTTTTGTAATTTAATACAGGGATAATAACACACTTGGAGGTCCAGGCAACAAATTTTCTATATAGTGCTGCTCCAGTTCTCATTTAAGACAGTGAAATGAGAACAATGGAAAGGAACAGAGAGAATAGTAGGTTTCCCATTGAATTGAATTAAGTTTCTATGATACAACTCAAAAATCTCACTCTGGAAATAAGTGTGGCTGGTGAGAACAGTTGAATTTCCAGTCCCATGTTGATGCAGAGCTGTTGTGCTAGCAAGGGTGCAGCTTTGCAGCTGTGATTTAGGGGTTCTGCACCCCTCACCTGTCAGCATTGAACAAGACTCTTGAAGAGAGGCTGGTGGTCCGTGGTCTGCAAAATACACAAACCTCAGGGCTGAACAGAGCTCATCGTGGAACAGGGGAGAGAACATGGAAAACCTTAGAAGTGGAGACTGCTTCTGCATGTTAACATCTATTTATTAATATAAAAAAAAATGCTGAAACAGAATCCTCTGGGTCTGCCTCTGAGCTAGTTTTCCTTTCCTCCAAATACAGTAGAACTGAGCTGTATGTAGATACGCTTTCAGAGAAAAACTGACTACGAAAGAGTTAACCTGACTAGTGGCAACACTTCAGTAAAAGTGAGAGAGGTGGAACTCAAGTCCAAGTCTTAATAAAACACAGGTGTTTTATTGTTAGGTTAAAAACTCCTAGTCTAAGACTCCAGCAAGCATTTAAAAACAAGGAAAAAATGTGCTGTTGAATAAGAAACTTGGAAAGGCTACAACTGGCCACGTTAGGCATTTATGGAGAATGCATCATTCACTGGCTCAAGCCTACCATAAAGTTCACAGTGGGAAAACAAAACACGTATTACATGAAGGACACCTCTTACAAAATGCATCTGGCCTCCAATGTGTTACACCTGGGATTAACTTCTGATACTCTCCATCACCCTGGCTTTGCTCTTACTACACCCTGCAGAGTGCTCAACACTATCACCTTCCAGCTCCAGCTCTTCTTGTTTCCTGGTCTGTTTGTGGAACTTATGAGGTGGCAGGCAGCATGAACATCACATTCAATGCACTGATAGCTCAGCTCTTACAACTGCTTTTCTGTCAGGGATGGGACCTTTTCCTTTGAATGAGAGAATGGTTGCTACTGCAGAACTAGTGAAAAGATGCAAGGAAATCACTCATCTCTTTATTCTCCTTTTCCCCATTCCCTCCACATCCCAAGGAAGCAGAAAGTCTTAGGAAGCATCTTTCAGTAAACTTCACTGAGTTTGGGTCACAGTGTAAAGTGATTGCTGTGAGCTTTGAGCTTCAGCTTCAAGTTCCTCATGAATTTTGAGAACAGAAGTAGTTACAACTTATTAAAGAGAAGTGGAACATGAAGAACTGGGGAAGTCCGAATGCTCTTACAGTGGTCCGAGGCCTAGGATTGCTGCATTGCAGTACTGGGGCCTTTAATTAGTGTTATGGAGATGGACTGGGTATTTTTGGTATCTGCATAGTGAAAATTATTAAGTGCGCTCAAAGAAACTAATTCACGCAAGAGAAAGTCAGGTATCAGTTTCTCTGGTCTTGGTCTTAGTGATAGAAATCAACTGTCATTACTAGAAGAGAAGGAAAGAAACAGTCCATAAAGGACCTAATAGGACAAGAAGCAGAAGAGTGGCTTTCAGGAATTAATGCAAGATTTTAACAACTGCAATTTAATAGGAGAGAGAGAGGCAGATGTGCAGATGGTCAGAATTTGACATCTTCATTCCCAGCCATCATCAAAACCTGATGTATTTTGAAGAAGCTTTTTGTGAAGATGCAATGGAAACACGGACTGCAGATTAACAGAGGCCTGGGAGGAGAAATCTTCATTTAGAGTATCCCAAAAGTCCTAATAGGAATCTTTATGTCAGCCTTAATTTGCCTAGGATGAGCCCCTTGAGGACAATCAAGAGAAGTTTCTGTCAGCATCTGCTAGCTACTCCTAATTTTAGATCTTCCCTGGCCTTCTCCTTTCCCCCTTCACCCTCTAAGACTGCTTTTCATCCCACTCCTTTGCAGCTGCTGGTTCCTGTTACTAACTTGCGTCAGCACTTCTCGATCTCAGACAACTCTGCTGTCATTTGTGCTTTGCTCTGTGAGGGAAACAACCCATGCTTTCTGTTCCCTCCTGAAAAGTCACCACACCTCAAGCTCCATCAGAGCTAGGTCAGACCCTGTTCAACACAACCTCTGGCCAGCCCAGCACATCAGACTGCAAAAACTGACAAAGCCACTGGTCTCAGTGCTGGGAAATAGCCAAGATCAAAGCTAGAAGCTCGGTTTCTTTTATCTCTCATCAAACTGGCCTTTATTTGTTCTTTACAGTCTTAAAATTACTGTTATCTTTTCTGATGTGTGTTATCACTGTGAGTCACTGAGAAGTAGAGGACAGATTTCCAATAATACGTGTATAGCCAGACTGAAGTGTTGTCAAATTGGCTTGTCTCAGCTCTGAAATAATAATGATGTCAGTTATTGAAATATTCGAGAGAAGTACTTCTATTTGACTTAAAGTGAGCGATGAACTTAGCATCCCATTTCTTATTATTCTCATTGCATGTTAAGAATTCCTTTTCCGAATTTCATTTCCTTTATGCATAGTTATTTTAAACGCCTGGAAACAAAAATCCTTTACAGCTTTCTTCTTTATTTATCAAATGATGCAGTTAACTGCTTGTAAAAGAAACAAGGATCCCCATCTGAGAGAATAATAAATAGGTAATTCATTGCAGGAGAGGGAAAGGAGGGTGACAGGGCTGAGATTTTGCCAATAGCACAGAAAGCAAAAAAGATTAAATTCAGAATACTGAAGAAAGTCAAATCCTTTCCTTTTTTCGGTTCCCTATCTGTACCATCTTTGTGGGTATGTTTTAAGGAACAACTAGGATATGATTAATCTTTTTTGTTTTTTTTTTTTTAAAAAGAGGTAAAGAATGCTTACCCTAACTACTCCTTATTTTTTGTTATTGTAGCCTAACCTAAAAGATTTCAGCACCGTCCCTTTCATAGGTCATCTGTAGCTCTTCTATGGGGAGTGAAAAATACCTGAAGCGCTTGTATGTAGAGCAGCAGGATCCTGTGGCCTTCATTAAACAACAGGCTAGAAATGGGCTTTAGGGGCAGCGGTGCAGATGCTTCCATCCATGGCAGGGCTCACAAGGGATAGGTACAAGTGAGTACAAAACTGTTTGTTTTTTCTTTCCCTTGCATTACTGTGGGATACTTGCAAACATTTAATTAAAGCTATTGTATACATGCTTAACTTGGAGATGGTGGTTCCTTGAAACCGTTACACAGGAGCACCAAAGAAAATACAAGGGAGTCACTGAAGGAAAATACAAGTGAATTAGAAAAGCATAGCAACCGAAGAATACATTTCCCATAATACAACAGTCAAAGGTCATGAGGTCCCAGATGCTCAGTTGCTCATGCATATCTTCTATTCTCTCCACTTGCATGCCTACTCCAGAGAGGGCAAAGATTTAATGAGGATGGGGCTAGCTTTAGCAGTTCTCACCCTTCCTTACACTCTACATCTGAAAGACCATTGAAAACCTCTTTGAAGTTGGAATAGACTCAAATTGAACTGTCCCAGTGCACACATACAATTTGTTTTTTTCTCATCAGGTAGAAAAAGACAAGGTAACTGTTCTCTTCCGGCAGTCCTGGATACAAACAAAGCTGTTGAATCAGACTTATTGAATTTAGGATGGAAAGGAGTTTCTCCAATCCATCTGTCTCTTCAATCTGCAGTAGCTGCCTTTCTCAGAGTCAAACAGTTTCTACTAGCCAGGTCATTTTTTTCTCAGTCCTTAAGAAGTTCAGTCAAAATAGCGTACTACTTACAGGAAGGTTGGCAGGGTCAAAAAGTGACTGCAAAACCAATCTCTGGTTAAAACGCATACATTATCTGCTCAGATGTAGATACCATTAGAACTCAGAAATCTCTGATTTGCTATCAGGACCTTGAAGGTGATTTCAGAGTCAGATTTGTTAAACTTGGCGGCGGTATGAACACTGTCATTTGTCATTAGCAGAGCTAACTGAGTTGCTCCAAGTCCCACTTAATCTATCCAGCTCACTACCCTACAGCTTCTGACCTACTTAGTCACTTCCTGCCTCTGATTTTCACCCAAAAACCTCTTTTCTGTGTTGGTCTGTGTCTGCCATTTAATCTTAATCAAACTTCCTTAGGCTTCCATTACTGTCAAGTACAACTCCTCTCACTGCAACATGCACACTTCTGAGTGCAGG